GTTAGTAGGCTAGCAGGTAGTTAGGCTAGTTAGTCTGCTTAAAGCATACTATTATACGCAGCACTACCTGCACCTCTTAGTTTGCCTACTCTATCCCGCTGTCTATCTAGGGGTAATATGTAGTGGACAGTAACTAGTTTATCTTTGTTATCTAGCACAACGTTATCTAGAAGGATCCTAACTAGTTAGAGCCTTAGTTAGTAATAATAGAGGATAGGAAGCCCTAGAACTACTACTAGTTATCCTAGAAGATCCTCGCACAATAATTAGCTACTATAGAGACTATTGCTTTAAGCTAAATATATTTAGATAATCTATTAGTAATAACTAATAGGAACTAAGGTTTACTATTATCTTTTATAGGTAGGTTAACTATAAAATCTATAGATATTTAGGACTAGTATTATAACGCAACTAGTATAGGTTATAACAGACCCTATTAGCGCTTCTAGGAGATATAAGCACTATAATAATAGCAGTTCTAAATATACCGCGTAATATCTCCTAATATTCTATCCTAATAATAGTTGCAGCGTAGTATTTAAAATATTATATTCTTTCCTAGATATCCTACTAAACATAATTTATATGCTTGCTATATAATAGTAGTTATAAGGGGTTCCTATATTAGTAACTAAATAACGCCCCTCTAAAGCAAAGTACTGTGTGCGCTAATTATACAGTCCCTAATCTATTACTTTATATTAGCTAGAACTAGGAAAAACCTAGTGCCTTTCTAAACTGTATTAAGACGCACTTAGTATATCTTATTTTCTAATACTACTTTGTCCTATAGTGTCTATATATACAGGTTAGCAAAGAGGCTAGCGCCCTTTAGTAACTTAGACGCCTCCTCTACTTCTAACACTGCAACCTAGATTAATTTAGGGCGCATTACTAACTATAGTGTTACTTTAGAGGAGTTTAAATCTTATAGTTACCTACTTAAGGTATTAGGTTATCCTATAAGATAGCTAGGTCTGTACTATAGGATATACTAGTATTTTAAAAGTTCCTCTACCTAGTAGCACTATCGCTCGCTTAAGCTTTAGAGGCTAGTAAAGTACTCTAGGTTTTTATAGTCTATAAATATTATAAATAGGTTATAAATACTCTATAGCTCTGCTAACTAACTTTTAAGACACTTAATAATAGCTAGTAATTCCTTATTATATATAGTGTAGTTTTGTCTCTCTAGCGTTAGTGCTATAAAGTAGTAAGTAACTAGGCGCTAGACGCCCCTAACTTTTTATAATAAGCAACCCCTAAGAGCGTATCCTAAATAGTCTACTTCTAATAACGTTTCCTTAGCTAGGTCCTATTACGCTAGTACTAGTCTAGATATAAATGCCTTTTTTAGTGTATTAAATGTACTCTATTCTTCCTCTCCCTATTAGAATAGGGTATCCTTCCTAGTTAGTTAGTTTAAAGGCGCTACTACTTTAGAAAACTTTGTAATAAAATTATAGTAGAAGTTAGTAAAACCTAGAAAACTTCTTACCTCTCTTATACTCCTAGGGGATTCCTATTCTTATACTGCCCTAAGCTTTTTAGGGTTAGGTCTAAGTAATTTGCCTACCTTAATAATATAGCCTAGGTAGCGTACCTCCTTAATATAGAACGTACACTTCTCTAAGTCTAGGTATAGTCCTACTTCTTTTAATAGCATAAGTACACGCTTTACTTTTTCTATATAGTTAAACTAGTCTCCTCCTAAATAAATTAGGATATTATTAAGGTAGGCTATTGCATACAATCTAAGTAACTCTATAAGCGCAGTATTAATATATTATTAGAAAGTAGATAGCGCACTACTAAGACTAAATAGATATACTAACTATTTATATAACCTAAACTAGGTATAGAAAGCTATTAAGGACTTATAACCTTCTACTATTCTAACTTTATAAAAGGTGGCGCAAATATCTACTTTTATAAACTAATTTACGCTAGATAGTGTGTGTAAAGTTTCCTTAATAAGTAGTAGTAGGTATTAGTCTAATATTATTATGCTATTAAGCATCTAGTAATCTATATAAAGGCGCTAACTACCTAATAGCTTCTTTACTAGTAACACTAGAGCTCTAGCTATAGAAGAGCTTGCTTAGATCTAGCCCTTATCTATTAATCTAGTAAGTTGTGTTCTTAGTTCTAGTAATTAATTATAAGATATAGGGTATAGGGGACCCTATAGGGGGTTAGGCTAGGTTCTATCTAGGAGAGTTATTAACTAAATATAGTAATCTATACTACCCTAATAGGGCGGCAAACTGCTTGCTAACTCTTTGTTAAACAGGTCCCTAAACTCTTATAGTTCTAGTAGCAACTTTATCTTTCTAGTTTTATACTTAGGCTTATAGGGAACTATGCTATTAGTAATATAGATAGTGTGTATATTAATAGGACTTCCCTTATTAACACTTCCTAGATATTTTATTAGGCGTAAGTTATATATTACCTATAAAATATCTAGTATATTTATTATAAATATTTATACCTATATATCTTCCTATTAGGGTCCTTAATTTAGTAACCCTGCTATAACTAAACCTAAGATAATAGAGATATAGGTAGGATATAAGCGTCTCCTACTCTCCTATACTACTATATTTCCTACCTTCCTAATTATTAATTCGCCTTATAGAATATCTATAATAACGCCCTCTCTACATAGCTATAGTCTACCTAGTATTAGTTAATAGGAGAGACTAGGTACTATATAGGCTAAAAGCTAAGACTACTAACTATCTAAATTATAGTCTAATACTACTAACTATAAAATTCTTATACCCTTAGCAATTCCCTAGGCATATTATAAGGGTTGCGGGGGAATATTTATAAAGTTCCTACTAATCTATCTTACTAACTTTTCCTTAACTATACTAAAATACTAGCACCCTAAATTAACTATTACTTGCATATTCTCTACTCTACCTAGGAGGAGGGGAATAAAGAAAGGAGGATTATTTAACCTAGCCTTAATATCTAGGGGACACTTAATAGCCTCTACTATTAATAATTCCTCTATTACAGTGTCCTCCTTATACCCCTAACTTAGCCTAAAGTTAGGGGTAGCTAGTTTCCTAAATTAGAGCTGCTTGCTAATACTGCAACTATCTTAATACCTACTAGTTACAGCAATAGGGTATTAGGGCATGCACGCACAAAATAACTACCCTATCTATACTAGGTGCAGACCTTTGCTAGTTTTTATATATTAAATAGGTCCTATAGGATCTAGTTAGGATGTAATATTAGTAGTTTAGTAAGTGCACTTAATAAGGCTGCTACTTCTACTATATTTATATTGCTATCCTAATCTAAGTTAGACTTCTACTAGGGTTCCTTAGACTTACTAGCCTAAAGAAAACCTAGTTCTAGAGAGGCTATTTTAATATCTACTATAATTATCTTATATTCCTCTATAGCTATATTATAGTTTATCCTAGAGACTCCCCTATTAAGGGAAACTAAGCGTATATAACTATTAAGAGATTACTAAAGTTATAAAAGCTTCTATTTATTATCCTAGTGTAAACCTCCTAACTATATAAGAAGCTATACAAAATTTATAAAGAACTTTATAAAAGGCTAATTTTAGCCCTAATATAATTATTCTAACATAACTTAGGCGTACTCCTACCTATAATAGTTACTATAATAAAACGCTAGGTAGTTAAGAAACCTACTTATATCCTAACGCTTACGTGTACTATCCTTAAAGTATAGTGCTATAGCGCGCTAAACTATAGGTAATAACTAGGACTAAATATATATAAACCTTACCTCCTTATCCCTAATAAAGACCTTGTCTGCACGTAGTTTAAACTCTATAGTTATTTACTAGGAGGAGAAGTTTACCTTAGTGCTATTATATAGCAAGCTAATTAGGAAGGGTTTATAATATAAGGCAGGAGAGGGTAGAGGTAGTATATTATTAAACCTAGCAGTGCTTAGAGGAGGGTTAGGATAGAATCTAATTGCGTATTTCCTTATTCTATTAACGTAGTATAGCTATTATAGCAGAGTCTTAAGCCTATTATTCTATTAATCTATAGACCTATTATATTAGCCTTTCTACTATATTAGGTTGCACCTAGTTATTCTAAATATCTAGCGCGTCTATCTCTTATTACTATTATAGTATATTTAGAAGAAGATACTAAAATATTATAGACTAGCCTTAAGAGAGAATATAATAAGCGTTAATAATAGTATTTAGTATCTTAAAGGAGAGGTAAGCCCTTAGCGCCTTTTTATAGGTGTGCAATGTGTTCGCTTAGTAGTAGTGTTAGACTTAGTCTATCTTGTGTTAGACCTAGGCTTGGGCATAAGCCTAAGCCCTTCACACTAATACTATTAATACTAGTCGCGGGCCATCTAGCAGCATCCCCTACAGTACTAATTTACAGGCTGCAGGATGTTAACCGATTCGGGTAAGGTAAGGCTTATGACCAGGACACTTTTCTTATTGCGACCCGGACGAATAACACTTGCCCAATGTGATCCGCTAATGGAGCTTTGATGTGTTTATTGGTTAATAGCTGCCATGATGCAGGACTAAGCCGCCGGGGGTGCTCGCTTAGGGCTGCATCTGCACGCCGTGCTCAGCGTGGCTATGAGGAGTTGACGTTACTGTGCTTCACCTCACTGAACAGTATGACAGGTTTCTATGCACGCTGTATGTCTTGTCAAGGGTAGATGAAGGAAAGTTGGTATAGCAGAATATACGGTGGCAGATGGGCTTCAATTACAGTCCTGGATGATGGTGTGTAATGTTAGACTGTTCATGCGGCTAATTCTGTGCTTGGGGGCGGTTGCATTCATTCTTGGATAGTGCGAACTCTTGGGTGACTGCATGACCGTGGTTCGCGGTACTGGTAGTGAACTCCGCACATGTCTACCCCGCTAGAACGGCCATCGGGAAAATAATAGACCGATCGCAAATCTACAGGTAGAAATTCCTTCCTTACTATGCAAGGCAACTACATTAAAGCACTATGACTAGATATGATGTACGCATAATTCGTTGCTATGCTAAAATATGGCTAAACATATGCAGGAATGCCTTCGTGCGCTGAATAGATTGCAAATACCTCGCAGGCACGCTGTACCACGCAGCGTATCTGCGAAACAACGCACAAAAGATTGGCTAAGAATACTTGGTGTTGACGCAAGTAAGCTAAATATGATCTTGCGCCTATACTTACAAAACGTAGAACACACAATTTCAAAATATAAAGTTCATCCATATCGCAGGTACAAAGGGCAAAGGAACTACTGCTCTGTATTGCGAACATCTCTTATCACAATACCAGCAGAAGACCAAGTCCTATCTGAAGCTAGGCTGTTTAACGTCTCCACACGTCAGTGATGTACGCGAAAGAATTCGGCTTGACGCTATGCCGATTTCCAAAGAGCTCTTTGTTCAATATTTCTCTGAAGTATATGACAAGATGAACAACGCTTCATTACAAGACTCAGTCTCGAGTGCTGAGGGACCTGCAATCTGCCCAAACATCCCTGGTTATCCTGGTTTCTTGGCCTTACTCGGCTTGTACATAATGTACAAAGAGAACGTACAGATCGCCGTTGTAGAAACGGGCGTGGGGGGTGAAAATGACTCGACCAATGTCATTGAACGCCCTATTGCGACTGGGATCACGACACTAGGCCTGGATCATATGAATGTGTTAGGCCCAGACTTGAAAAGCATCGCATGGCACAAGGCAGGAATATTCAAGACAGGAGTGCCGGCATTCACTGTAGAGCAAGACGCTGAGGCACTAGAGACGCTTCAGAATAGATCTCTTGAAAAGAGGACGGCTGGTAAACTTACCGTGGTCTCTGATGATGCCATACTTGGATATAGGCTCTCTGTTGTCCCTGACCGCCCTTATCAGAGACGTAATGCGGCTTTGGCTCTAGCTCTATGCAATGTCTGCTTGCGGACCATAGATTCGGCTTTTGTAATGACAACGGAAATGGCCAGCGTCTTACGATACACACAGTTGCCAGGCCGCAGCGAAATTCTTAAAGACGGACAGCGTACATGGCTTCTGAGTGCTGCGCACAACGAACTGAGCATGATTGAAGCTTCACATTGGTTCAAAGCTGTTCTTGATCAACTAGAGTAAGATGCACCACAGTATTAGACTTCAAGCGCTTACATCTTCACAGACACGCTAATACGCCTCATGTGCTACTCTTTGGCCATGAATCCTGGCGGGAGAAGGAACTGATTTTGAAGAGACTTCACGATATAGTTTGTGCTGAAGGACATAATTTTCAACGAGTTATCTTTTGCACACATCGCTCAGGAATTGAGGACAAGAAACCAGGTGAGCGAATATATACACCTGCTTACACCTAGGCTTGCTTATAATTTTCGTCGTAGACCTAGCCGATTCCCGCATCGACGTATTTCGCGCCTCTGAGGTCGCAAAGTATCATGCGCAGACTTGGCAAGAGCTGGCGGGTCAAGAAGCCACCGTATTCAGTACTATACAGGAAGCTGTAAGGTTTATACAGGGAGAATATACCTCAGCAATAGTGCTTGTTGGAGGCCATATATATGTAGCTGGTGTGGTGCGCTATCTTTTACAATAAGGAGTAGTTGACCAAGATGTTTGAAGTGCAGCAATATACATTTACGCCTCAGCTTCCCAAACTCGCGTGACTAATGATACTTGCACGCAATTGAGAGCTTATGCTACTATTTTGTTGCAGAATATAGTCTAGCCAGAAGCTAGGCATACTCCGCATCCAGAAATGATCAACTTTGGGAGACAACAATATAACACTAGCCTTCTGTAACCATTCTATATCTGTCTCGTTTCCTGGGATTTTCTGATGTGCGCAATGAAGAGAAAGGCAAATCGCTGCGTAATCCCATCCTGAAGTACTTAAGACTTCGTATCGACTCACCCAGCGGACTAACGTGTGCCATAGATCTAATGTGTAAGACCATCCCGTTGTATCGTGAGCTCTTCGATGGTAGCTCTGCGCGAGCAAGATCAGGGTGCGGACATGCCTCTGCTGGTCGTTCCTTGCAATGCACGCACCACCGCGCTCAAAATAGCGTCTGAGCTGCCAGAGGATGTCGTCTGATTCCTGATATCTCTCGAGATAACAGCAAACCTCGGAGAAAGAGAGTAGCAACGACCTGTGGTAGGTATCTTCCAGGGCTTCTAGCTCATTTGCTGTCGTGAGAGCTCTCAGCCCTTCTACCTCCTCCCAAAGCATATCGTACGCAAGCTGAGGCGCTTTATTTTCGCAATAAGCATCACACAAGTTCGCAAGTACGTACGAACGAGTACGAGATGTGTCGTCGATGAGCCCAAGTCTCAAACTTTCGATGGCGATATCGTATCTGCCGATGTGTTTGCTTGCAATCCCTGTAACGGTAGCTAGCTTCCGCTCCACTCGCATCTGGTAGAGGCTAGAATTAGTGGCCTCCCAACGTGTGCAAACCGTGATGGCTTCTTCGAACTCGGTTTCTGCTATGTGGATCCAGGATCGGGAGTTTATCAGCAAACCATGGATAGAATGGAGAAGCGGGTCCACTGGAACGCCTGGATTGACCGATTTCCAGTATTCTTCGATAACACTTTTGGCCTCGTTCAGGTCGCCCTTGGCACGCAACACAAAACTGCGTCTGTATGCGAGGTATGCTCGATCATTGATATTGATGCCTTCTGGTACAAGTTTACTAGCGATTGCGATAGACTGAGACTTCCATTCGTTATCTGAAAATTTGGAGGCTTGTAGAAGAGCGCGCATCATCGTGCTTACTAGAAATGGCTTATTGTCCTGCTTGTGATTGTTGACAAGCTGACGGAATAATGGTAACGCTCGCAATGAATGTTGTCGCACACTGCCACTCCATTGTTAAACAGGGTTCGTAAATTTAACCTGGAACAACTTACTTGCTCACGTATTCGCAGCATCCTGTGAAGAAGAAGCAGGAAAGTATCACAGCTTGATCAGTGTCGTAAGCCTCGTTCGCGGCTTTCACCCGAGACACGATCAGTGTCTCCCCCGGTACGCTGGAATTGCGTATCTCGACCAAGCCAAGAGACTCATAGTGGACGAGTGTGGCGTCCAGAGCATTCTGATCGCTTAATATATTATAGATAGCTGGATGAAGACCTAGCTCAAGGATATTAAAGTGTTCGATGTTTCCATCAGGAGACCAACGATTTCTAAACTGGCCCCCAGCTATGAGCAACGATTTAGGAACCGGGTGTCCTACCAGCGTGCACACATGGAGCAATGAGAATAGCCTTCCTTGCTTCGTTGTGAGATAGCGCAGGGCTGTGCAAACATGGTCGAGACTGTTTTGCGTCAGCACTACCTACACAAGTTAATAGGTAATTAACGCACCTGATTTCAGGGTTCCACTTTGCAATTTGGCTAGGGACAGACCAAAAGGGGAAGGAACCGATGTCCAGTGATGCTTTTATAGCTTCGAATTTCGACATGTACTCGTTATCCTGATCACCGTTATCCTTTAGGTGTCGAAGCCCGCTAGCTGTCGTTGGCGCGTCTAGGTACCACTGTTAGCCATGATCAAGCTAGACAGTGCGGGACTTACATTCTGCCACTACGGCTGTGGCCATCTCAAGTTTCCATCCGGACTTCACCAATTTTCCTATAACCTTGCTGTGGAGCCATTCCACACTATTGCGGATCCGTAGTAAGTAATCATATGAGGTAGCGCTGACGAGAACAAGCTGCACCAGCTGATTGGCTTCATCCCCATTGAAACGGCCAAGCGCATGGCCAGCTGTGACGCAAGATAGGTAGCGGAATAGTTCAATGCTGTAATAGCCAGTCTTCTTCATAGAAACCAAGTCGGTGGCTCTGCATTTCAGCTCCTTCATTGCTAAAGTCGCATTCGTGCAAAGTCGATGTATATTGACGCGCTTTGGTGCCTGCTTCTTGAACGTAATATCAATATCATTGTAATCTGGCTCCGTCCATGGTCGTTTCTGCGTACGAGGTGCACTGTGGAAGATGGGTTTCAAAGAATTGTGCTTGATATCGCATTCCGCATGATGTTGTTGAAGTATCTTCAGCTCCTGCTCAGCTACGGCAAGCTTGACCTTCAACTGGTAGACGGTGGGTTCAGGCATGGCAAAGGTAAGACGGGTTTGCGACACGATTTCAGCGACAGCACACCTATTTGTGGTCGGCAAGTCATAGCACAGCACGGACACTCTATGCTTGGCACGACGCTATTTTGAGACTGGGGCGCTTCGTCTAGCGAATCGCTGGTGTGCGTGATTGCAAGTTCCCGTGCTGCAGCAATGGCAAATGATATTCGTCCGGGTCACAATAAGCTAAACGTCCGGGTCACAAGCCTGCTAAACCTATATCAGCGCTGGGCTTATCTGTCGCATCATATATTCTCGAGGAATG